ACATAAATAAACCGCCTTTTTATTTATTTAAATCGCATAGCAGCAAGAAATGTTACATTTAAAATGGAAGATGTTACTTAGAAAGCTGGCAAATGAAGAATTTGAAAAAATTACAGCTGACAACTCGAAGAAAGTGTGTGAACATGTGGAAAGTGATTAATTTAAAAGAGAAGTTATATTGGTTGATGTTTCTGAACTTTATAATAAGCGTTAATAATGGCAGTGATGATTCGGATTTGTCAATTTCATCTGACGATTATTCGGATTGTGAACTTTTAGAAACGTAATGAATGTTCGCTAAATGAGTATTATCACCAATTGGATATCATTGTTAAGATGTTGTATTTATTTTAAATAAATGTACACGTGTAGCTTGCTTACTACAATTAGCACTATAATTTCAAAAAGAAACCCCACCGATTGGACATATGCCGAAAGGTAGGCAAGACGCGTAGCGATAAAAAATTTGATATTGCACGCACACACAGTCTATAAATCTCGTTTTCCTAAGAATATTGCACGGATCCTGTGATCATGATACAAACGCACTGCATCAACATTATATAGGCCAAAATGATAATTGGAAACGAATTCACTTCCTGTCGCAACTTAATCTCCGTTACCATTACGCCTAAAACCATGCAATTGAAATTAAAATGTTGAACATAAACTTTACTTACTTACGGTTTTTTTGATATTCTGCAAGCCAGCAATGAATTCACTGCAGCACATCATGCCAAACAACGTAAACATAGTCCCAAATCTAAATGGCGTAGCTCTATGTAATAAAACTATTTCAGGAATAACAATTATGGACGCGTCTATCATTATGGCAAGCACTAATGTTATTCATATACATTTGATAACGCAATAATTACATAATATTTAGTGAAAAAAACCGTCCATCATGTTTAGGGCGAATATTTTTAGTTAGATTTGATTTCGCGCGATCGTGAAATGTGTCAACTGTCACATGACTTATGGGACGCGCTAAGTTTGTTTTAAGCGTCCGATTCGCGTACGACGTAGTGGTTAATGCAATAAAATGAGATAGAACATGTTTCTTCTTGGTTAGAAAGTAATGGAGAGATGTACAAATTTCTTTGATATGTTTTTTAAAAACCGAGGTACGTTTGTTAAGGATGGCTGTATCTAGGTATTTATATATCTATGGTTTAAAACCCCAAGAGATCTTGCCGATCTCAGCGCTTCCTCTTGATAGATTGCAGAACTAATTTTAAGACCTCCGCTACAAGTTGCGCAGACGCGCCGATCCTTGTGAAGGCGTCCATATAAAGCAATATTTCGCTACCAGCGGCGCCGCTCTGCAACGGTTCGTAAGCAGCTCTTATACATTGACACCCATTTTGGTATGACCTTAAATAACCTTGAAACGCAAATGTCACCTTCACATAATTTTTCAAAGTCACTGTCAAGGACAAGTAGTCAGACAACTTTCCATCTTCAAAATTATTCAATATCATAAGATTCTTTTCACTTTTTTCAGTCATCAAATTCTTCTGGTCCAATTCTCCACATGCTTCGGACTCTTCAGAATCTACCAACCTTTTATATTTCTCATATTCGTCAAATGCAGAACTTTTTTATTTTTCATTTTCATCAAATTCACCTTAAATCAGTCAGTACACATTTGAAACTTACCAAAAGGAATTCTTCCAATTTTTGAAATTCTTCCATACTTTAAGGTCTTCCGTTGCTTCAAATCCTTGCAATTCTCCATATACCATGGAGCAAAATCTTTGAATACTTCATATTTCTAGTATTTTTTAAATCAAAATCTTGATTCTTTAGTTTCCTGGATTCCTCAAAGGCGTCGGATGCTTCAGAGGCATCAGATTCTTTACATTCCCAAAATAGTCTTCAAATCCTTCTTCACTTTTTGCATTCTTCCAATTCTTTCAAATTGAGCTTCATCATACGCGTGAATTTTTAAGGTTCTTCAATTTTTTAAAAACGCATTTCTCATATCCTTCAAGTTTCCGAAATTCTTCCATAACCAAGATTCTGCAAAACAGTCATTCTTCACAGTATTTATATTTTTCATTTTTAAACCAATATCTTAAAAGTCTTTGAATTCTTCCAATTCTTCAAACTCTAAACAACATTCTGCAAATCTTCTACATTCATCTCTGTATACTCCAAATTTTTGAATTTTCGGATTATGATTCTTCCAATTATTCTTAAGTGCCTTGAATTCTTCCAATTCTTCAAACTCTTGAGCCTACCCAAGATTTTTGAAATTTTTTCATTTTTTAATTATCCCATTTTTCATGATTTTCAATCTCGATTGTTTTTCATATTCTCGTTCTTCACAGTGTTAATATTTTCCAAATTCTTTATTTTGAATTCTTCAGATTTCACACTCTAATTGTTCAAACTCTCGAGATCCTTGACCATGATTTTTCAGATTTTTTCATTTTCGAATCATCCCCATTTTTCATGTTTCTTCAAATGTATATCGATCTGTTTTCAAATTCTTCAATATCATTTGAGGCATCGAATTTTTTCATTTCTTCTCCTGCGGTACGTCGAATTCTTCGGGATCCCTAACCAAGATTCTTTAATCTTCAAAATATTTATATTTTCCAAATTCTCCAATGTCTCGAGATTCTTCTTCACATTTTTTAGTTTTCAGTCTGATTCTTCGACTGTTTTTACTTCTTCTCCTTACGTGCTTCAAATTCATTTTTTAATTATTCTCATTTTGTGTATTGTCCATATTCAAATTCGTGAGACCTGAGATTCTTCAGATTTGTCATTTCTTTTAAATATTCCTATTTTTTGTACCCTTCAAATCTTCATAATTTTTCTTCTTCAGATTTCTTCGAATTCTTCCATTTTTTTTAATTTTTCATATGCTTCAAATTCTTTTGTTAGTAAGAATTTTTCATACTTTTCAAATTTCTCAGATGCAAAGAGGGTTTTTTTATTTCTCACGTGATTTAAATCTTCACGTCCTTAAAATAATGTACAGGGTGGCCAAATAAAAATGCGAGGTACCATATCTGGGAACCTGTCCATCGTAGAGGGTTGCGGTAAACAAAGTTATTACTAAAACGCCCACAAGAAAAACCTGGAAAATACTTTTTTAAGTTTCTGAAATTAGGGGGCGTAACTGCAATCTGGAATCTAAAAGTGACGTTTCTGTGAATTCCGCTATATTAACCTAGCAAAAAAATATCCGGTCTTTGAAGTCCACGATAATCTGAACAATTTTTGTTTGACAATTTTTCCTGTATCACTAAAAATGAAGTGGTGGGGGTTCAAAGGTTTCCGTAAAGAACACCCTGTATCTTCGAAACAACTGAGTCGATTTTATCAAACTTGGGGTTAATTGAAAAGAGTTATTCTTCAGCTACAAATATTATAATATTTGAAGTTTTGCTAGTTTCACATATCGCCGCTTAAGGGCTTTTTTCGACATTCTGATAGAAATGGTTAATTTTCTCAGAAAAATTAAATGCGTTGGTTTGATTTTTTTTCATGAATAAGTAGCTAAACAAGTTCGCGAAAACCGCATCTCGATATCTTGTTCCTAACCTAAAATTTAGGCCAATGAAAATTTTATACCCTCAAAATTTTATTTTTTTAAGCTAATTTTTCCGGAATTATTTTTATTATATAATTTGCGGCCCTAAGGTTGATCGATTTAAAAAAGGAAGTTTTTAATGCCGCCGTAAATGCTCGAAATGCTGGCCATCACGATTTAAAAATATCTCAAGATATCGATGATGCTGTTTTCGCGAGCTTATTTAGGCATCATTTAGCCACTTTTTCATGAAAAAAAATCGAACCAATGCATTTAATATTTTTAAGAAAATTAACCATTTCTGTCGGAATGTCGAAAAAAACCCTCAAGCGGTGATATGTGAAACTAACAAAACTTCAAATATTACAATATTTGTAGCTGATGAATTGCTCTTTTGAACTAACCCGAGTTTGTTTAAATCGGCTCAGCCGTTTCGAAGATACAGGGTGTTCTTTACGGAAACCTTTGCATACCCCCCCCCCCCCCACCCCCCAAAACAAACAAAAATTGTTCAGATTATCGTCAAAGACCGGGCATTTTTTTGTTAGGTTAATATAGCGGAATTCACAGAAACGTCACTTTTTTAGATTCCAGATTGCAGTTACGCCCCCTAGCGGTCATTTCAGAAACTTTTCCAGGTTTTGCTCGTGGCCGTTTTAGTAATAAATTTTTTTACCGCAATCCTCTACGATGGATAGATTCTCAGATACAGTATTCTTAGTTGGCCACCCTGTACATTATCAAAAATCATGAAATTCGATATCTTAAACATTCTTTAAATTCTATGGAACGCGCAGGTTGTTCCAATACATCGAATTGTTCAAAAATCTGGATATATATTGATATTCCTAATTTTTGAATTCTTTAAATCCTTCACTGCTCAAATTCTTTCTTCCATTTCTTAACGTTTTTCAAAATTTGGTTAGTTTAAATCACGTCGGGAGTCTTCTACGAATTCTATCAATTTTTCATATTCTTCAAATTCTACAATGCTACAGAGGCCCTTAAGTTTCTTCATTCAGTCCTTTCGATTTTTTTAATCTTTGCATCACTAAAAATTATTCATATACCTCAAATAGGCTTCCAATGTTTTAATTTACTGGATTTTTCATTCTTCGAATTCTTCTCTATGGATTTTCAGATTCTTCCATTTTTTTAATCTTTAAATACATCATATTCCATATATGTATTCTTCAAAATCTTCCAGTTATCAAAATTCCTCAAAATCTTCAAGATTTTTTTAGTTTCTTCCTTTTAATTCTTCTGCTTGAGTTATTCAGATGCTTCACTTTGCAGGGCATTTTTTTAATTTAAAAAATTTACTTTTGTTTGTAATTTCTCTGTCCGGATCCACTCCTGTGGTTTTAAACTACTTTAGAGGAATTGTCCTAGAGTTCTAAATTAGGTTGGGGGGAAGGTGATCTGCCCTTCATGGTATTTGTCTCATCGAAAAGAATTCTAGAAGTTACAATGTTAATATCCGTGGGAGGTTGAAGGGGAAATAAAAGAATAAAAGAGCTTTTGGTAACAGATATTTACATCTGCCAGATGTCGATTTTTTTAAACGTCCTTTTTTCCCACCCTTAAACACCCATGAAACCCGCCCCACGTAGGGCGCCAAATAATTAACTTGTAGGCCCCATGTTGGGCGCCAAATATTTAACAGACGAAATGTATTTACCTTATTCACGTCGAATACGTGTATTAATCTATCTCGACTAGCACTTGCTAATAGTTTCTTATCGAAGTCTATTTGGGAGTACTCCAAGCACAACACTTCCGCATCGTGAGCCTCAATCTTAAAATCTTCCGTCATACCTTTAGTTTCGAGAATCCTTATGTTGCCTGAAACATAATATAAGAGGGCATAATAGAGTTATATAAGAACCTGCTCGATCTCCCGACGCCAGCTGTTTACCATCGGGACTCAACCGAATTGCTCTGACGCCGTTACGTCCGTCGTACGAGCTATCTTGCTTATCATTTCCGGCATTACTCGTGGAAATGTCCAAATCTTTCAAGTAAGTCATATCCGAATCGATGTACACGACTTTCAGCAACTCCTATAAATTGCAATTTTTAACAGGTTATGGGTCCCAAGCGACTTACATTGCTGTAAATATTTCGTTGATACACTCCGCGCGCATTTTTGTCGTTTAATTTATCTAAAGTCCACACGCGTATCGTATCGTCGGAACTGCAAGTTAAAAAACTACCGGGTGGCAGAGGACAGTGCGAAGGTGACATTTCCACTCCCCATATACAGGCGGAATGGTAAAGAAACGAATGAGACTTTCCTACCTGGATGAGACAATTTAAAAATTTACTTCGAAATTTTCGGGTGCATACATACCCTCCTAATGTTGTGTATATCCCAAACGTAAATAGAGTGGTCATTATAGACACACGTTAATTTTTTATTAGTTTCATCATAGGTGATTGCGATGGCGTCGGGGTATTTGGCATCAGGAGGAGGGGACGACATGTGCCTGTCGACCATTGAATTATTACCGTGCGAGAGCAATGTTTCACTTACGTAATGTTTAAACCTTGACTAACATCTACCCCTAAATAGTGTGTTCTTGGAAGAGTTGTAACAAACCTAAGGGTGGTAGGATCAAAACACCGTACAATTCCCTCAGCACAGCCGACAAATATGTATGTTTTACCTACAGTTATACAATTGGCACTTGAAGTCTGAAAATATATAAGTATATGCGTTGCGCCGACGTTGTGACTACTCACTCTAAGCTCAACCCACTTATCAAGCAGTCTTCTATTATTAAACTCGCAAAGCAACCCCGAACGGGTGATCGCATACGTGCTATCACCGCATTGGGCTTTTCCACAAGCTACATCACAAAAATAATTGTTACGCTGTTCCCCTAAAATCGCCGATCTACCCATTAAAGGAACCGCTTCTTTGTACTAAAAAGAGTGATCAGCGCAAATAATTTCACCGTCACAACGTACCTTAGCTTTACCGTATTCAAGGAACCAAAACTTTACGTGTCTGTTACCGACGGTCACGAAGTAACTACCGTTCTCGGCGAATGCGAGCGCCTTTACTTTCGTGCTGACTTTGTTGCTCGCTACTTTGATGTTGTTTTTCCAATCCCAAACGTTGACAATCATGTCATGCTGAGTTCCGATACTTACGACGTATTTACCGCTCGGTGAAAATGCCTACGGTCAAACAGCTTAATATTAAAACACCGAATCGGTCTCGAAACTTACAACACAGCTGATCCCGTACTTGTGTGAAAAAAATTCGGCGACTTGTTGCACTTGGGGGGCGATACCCGGAGCACCGGGCTGGGGATCCGCCTGCAAATCCCACACGCGTACGGCGGGTTGATGGCCACACTCTCCTAAATTGTAAGTCCGTCTAACCCGTAAGAATAATGACAAAAAAAATTGCTTACCAGTTACAAGGTATCTGCCGCATGATGAAAATGCTAACGAAGTGATTGTTTTTCGGCTAGTGTTAATTATGTGACTTTGATCTCCAGTTTCTGAATTAAAGAGCACGACAGTACATCTGGAACAGAAAAGGGCTACTTCAGCATTTATTTTAATGCGTGTTTAAATTAAAATTAATGTCATTATGCTCAGTCAGACAATGAAAAAAACAGGACAATTTTGAGAATATATCCATCGTAGAGGCTTGCGGTAAAAAAATTTATTACTAAAACGGCCACGAGCAAAACCTGGAAAATATTTTTAAAGTTTCTGAAATGACCGCTAGGGGGCGTAACTGCAATCTGGAATCTAAAAGTGATTTTTCTGTGAATTATGCTATATTAACCTAACAAAAAAATGTCCGGTCTTTGAAGTTGACGATAATCTGAACAATTTTTGTTTGACAATTTTTCCTGTATCTCTAAAAATGAAGTGGTGGGGGGTATTCAAAGGTTTCCGTAAAGAACACCCTGTATCTTCGAAACGGCTGAGCCGATTTAAACAAACTCGGGTTAGTTCAAAAGTGCTATTCTTCAGCTACAAATATACTATTTGAAGTTTTGTTAGTTTCACATATCACCGCTTGAGGGCTTTTTTTGGCATTCCGCCAGAAATGGTTAATTTTCTCAAAAAAATTAAATGCATTGGTTCGATTTTTTTTATGAAAAAGTAGCTAAATGATGCCTAAACAAGCTCGCGAAAACAGCATCTCGATATCTTGAGATATATATTTTTTATATCGTGCGATGGCCAGCATTTCGAACATTTACGGCGGCATTAAAAGCTTCCTTTTTTAAATCGATCGACCTTAGGGCCACAAATTATATAATAAAAATAATTCCCGAAAAAATAGCTTAAAAAACTAAAATTTTGAGGGTATAAAATTTTCTTTGGCCTAAATTTTAGGTTAGGAACAAGATATCGAGATGCGGTTTTCGCGAGCTTATTTAGGCATCATTTAGCTACTTTTTCATAAAAAAAAATCAAACCAACGCATTTAATTTTTTTGGGAAAATTAACCATTTCTGTCGGAATGTCGAAAAAAGCCCTCAAGCGGCGATATGTGAAATTAACAAAACTTCAAATATTATAATATTGTATCCGAAGAATAGCTCTTTTGAACTAACCCGAGTTTCTTAAAATCGGCTCAGTCGTTTGGAAGATACAGAGTGTTCTTTACGGAAACCTTTGAAGACCCTCCACCACTTCATTTTTAGAGGTACACGAAAAATTGTCAAACAAAAATTATTCAGATTATCGTCAACTTCAAAGACCGGACATTTTTTTGTTACGTTAATGTAGCAGAATTCACAGAAAAATCACTTTTTTAGATTCCAGATTGCAGTCACGCCCCCTAGCGGCCATTGCAGAAACTTCAAATATTTTCCAGGTTTTTCTCGTGGCCGTTTTAGTATAAATTTTTTTACCGCAAGCCTCTACGATGGAGAGGTTCTCAGATACAGTACCTCGCATTCTTATTTGGCCACCCTGTACATACTCGTACAATGAGAAAACTCCCTGCACTTGCGCAGAATCGGAAGAATATAAAGAATTTTAGTTGTGGATGTGAGAAATCCAAAAAAACCGAGAAATAATTTAAAAAATAAAGAATTTTAAGAAAACGAAACAAAGATGACTTTGAAGATTCAGTGAGAATAACACCTTGCGCTTTCACAGAAACTGAAAAATATGAAGAATCTTAACTGTGGACGAAGAATCAGTAAAAAAGGAAGAAGAAAAATAATTTAAAATATCAAAAAAGTTTGCAGAATACAAAAAAGGACAATTTTGAAAATTCAGTCAGAGTAACTACCTGTGCAGAAAGTGAAGTGGATCTGAAGAATCCGAAAAAAAGAAAGCTCGAAAAATCAAAAAAGTTTAAAGAAAATGAAATCCAAGAGTTTGAAATTTGAATTTCGCAGAAACTGAAGAATATGAAGAATCTTAGTTGTAAATCTGAAGAATCCGAAGAACAAGAATAATTAGAAAAATCATAAATTTGAAGAGTTTTTAGTGTATGAAGAACCTAAAAACTCAGAGAAGTGTAAGAATTCAAAAAAGATATCGAGGAGTTCGAGAAATTGAAGAATTGGAAACATCAAAAAAATTAGAAAGAACTATTAAGAAGAAATAATGATATTAATTGAAGAAAATTGGAGGAGAGGAGTTTGAAGAATAGAAAACATTAATGAAGAATTTCTTGAAATGGTAGAATTAAGAGATGAAATGAAACAAGTCAGGTGTAGGAATGGAAAGGATTCGAAGAAACTGCAAGAATTCGAACGATACACGAATAAAGTAGTTTTTTTGTTGCACGGATATTGATTCACCATCCAGGAATCTTGCTTCCTCTCATTAACGCACATCTGGTCGCAATTGAGAGTGTCCGTCAAAATTTCCAGTTGTCAATTTAAATTTGATGAGATTATACAGGCTACTGCGGGAGTAGTGAAAACCTTCTTTGAGGAGGAAGAGAAAATCCGAAAATCAAATCAACGACGTAGATTTTAATTATAAATGTAAGCAATCAATGTTGTTTGAATAAATTACATAAGAACAAGAATATATTATTTGCTATTTTTAACAGTGACTTGGCAAACTATTTGTTTATTGATGTAGGTATCAATTGATACAATTCGAGACCTTTTTATTAGATCATCTTCCTTCTAATATCGCACTACGAAATTCTCAAATAACGGCAAGTGTGAAAAGAAGACGCGAAAGCCCGAAAGACGATGCAACCAATGAGGATAGGAACTCTACCTGTCTACGAATTAATTAGTTATACAGTACTTATTAATCAGCAAAGAATCTCAAACTCGGAATTAATTATTCTAACGCATCTAACACTTTACAGTTCATTAATTAATTAATACCAGTAAAGTTCAAGTTTGGAATTAATTACCTACTCAAGAAACGTCCTTCTTAGAGTAGTAGAATTTTGGTCTACACTACAAACATTTTGTAGATTTTTTTAGAATTGCTTAACATTTTTATAGAATTTTTTTATAATTTTCTAGAATTTTCGTAATCTTTTTAGATACATATTTTGGAACTCTTTTAATTTTCTAGAATTTTTTAAGAGCTTTTCTAGAATTATTTCCAAACGCATATGTACACACAATTATTATTTTATGCAATTTTTAACAATTTTTAGATTTTTTTGGAATTTTTTAGAAATGTAATTTTTTAGAATTTGTTTAAGAATTTTTCTAGAACTCCTCCGAACTCACATGCACACAATCATTCTATACGATTTATAATATTTTCTAGAATTTGTTAGAATTTCTTTTAGAATTTTAGGGTTTTAGTGTACACTACTAGCATTTTGTAAAATTTTTTTAAAATTGTTTTTAAAATTTTGTAGAATTTTTTAAGAACTTTTCTAGAATTTTTCCGAACGCACATGCACACAATTCTTATTTTATACAATTTTTTGAAGTTTCTAGAATTTTTTAGAATTCTAGTTTTAGTGCACACAAAATGAAGTGGTTGACTCTGCGGGAGGGAGGATTTTGGTGTACACTACTAGCATTTTGTAGATTTTTTAAAAATTGTCCTAGATTTTTTAAATATTTTGGAATTTTTTTAAATTTTTTAGTTTTAGTGTAAACAAAATTTGATTTCCCCCTCAATTAGCAGCAAATCTCAAGCTCGGAATTAATTAATTTGGAGCAATCTAACCTAACACGCCTTCAAATTCGTTAATCAATTTCGTCAATTAAATACTGATAAATTTCAATTTTGAAGTTAATTACTCGACAACTGTGGCTCTTAATGCATTTTATAGTAAACTAATTATTAATACTAGCAGCGAATCTCAAGCTTGAAATTAATTATTCGAGTGCACTCAAACCAAAGACACTTAAAATTTCGTTACCTAATCAATTCATTACCGGTAAATTTCGAGCTATTCGCTATTAATGAATTTTATAATAAATTAATTACTAATTAGCAGCGAATCGCAAGTTCGGAATTAACATTCGATAATCAATTAATTACCGGTAAATTTCTAGAATTAATTACTCTGGGACAGTCATTCTTAATAAATCTTGTGACATGTTAGTTGTTAACAGTGTATTTCAAGCTCGTAATTAATTATTCTAGCACAATTTAATCTAATACACTTTAAAGTTCGTTAATTATTTACCGGAAAGTTTCAAATTTTGAATTAATTACTCCAGCAAAGTCGCTCATAATGATTTTTGTAATACTTTAATTATCAATCAACAGCAAACGCAAGTTCGAAATTAATTATTCTAACGTAATCTGACACACTTCGCTAATCAACTAATTACCAATGAATTTCAAGTTTGAAATTACGTACTCGAGCACAGTTACTCTTCATGAATTTTATAATACATTAATTAATAATTAGCGAATCTCAAGTTCGAGATTAATTATTCTAATGACATCCAACTACACCTTAAAAATCATTAATTAATTAATTACAACTTAATTTAAACTTTGGAATTAATTACTCGACCATAGTCGATTATAATATGTTAATTACTAATTAGCAGTGAATCGCATGTTCAGAATTAATTACTCTACCACCTAATACACTTTAAAATTCCTAATCAACTTTTAATAACCGGTAAATTTTAAGTTTAGAATTAATTACTTAAGCACAGTCGCTCATCATTAATTTACGTTAATTATTAATTAGCAGCCTCAAGTTCGCGTAATTTAATACACTTATAAATTCGTGAATCAATTAATTACCGGTAAACTTTCGAGATTAGAATTCATTACTCGAGCACAATCACTCATAACGAATGCTGTAATACGTTAATGAATAAATTAACAGAAAATTTCAAGCTCGTAATTAATTATTCTAGCACAATTTAACCTAATACACTTTAAAGTTTGTTAATTATTTAACGGAAAATTTCAAATTTTGAATTAATTACTCCAGCACAGTCGCTCATGATTTTTGTAATGCTTTAATTATCAATTAACAGCAAACTCAAGTTCGGAATTAATTATTCTAGCTAGCGCAATCTAACACACTTCGTTAATCAATTAATTACCGATGAATTTCAAATTTGAAATTACATACTCAAGCACAGTTACTCTTAATGAATTTTATACTACATTAATTAATAGTCGGCGAATCTCAAGTTCGAGATGAATTAATCTAACGATATCTAACTTATTACACCCTAAAAATCGTTAATTAATTAATTACAACTTAATTTCAACTTTGGAATTAATCGCTTGACCATAGTCGCTCTTAATGAATTTTATAATATGTTAATTACTAATTAGCAGCGAATGGCATGTTCGGAATTAATCACTCTACCACCTAATACACTTTAAAATTCCTAATCAATATTTAATAACCGGTAAATTTTAAGCTTAGAATTAATTACTGAAGCACAGTCCCTCATAATTAATTTACGTTAATTACTAATTAGCAGCCTCAAGTTCGCGTAATTTAATACACTTACAAATTCGTGAATCAATTACCGGTAAACTTTCCAGATTAGAATTAATTACTCGAGCACAATCACTCATAACGAATTCTGTAATACGATAATGAATAATTAACAGAAAATTTAAAGCTCGTAATTAATTATTTTAGCACAATGTAACCTAATACCTTTTTAAAATTCGTGAATCCATTAATTAGAACTGAATTTCAAATTTGGAATTAATTTCTCCAGCAGTTGCTTTTAGTAGATTGTCGTTAATTATTAATCGGTAGCGAATCTCCAGCTCGAAATTAATTACCGGTAACTTTCTTGAAATTAATTATACAAGCACAGTGCAAGCCAAGATGGAAGAAAAAATGGAATTCCTTAACGGCAAAATTCTGAAATTGCTAAAGGTTCCAGATGTTCCAAAAATTCCCATGTTTTTGTAATACCTCTCACGATAATGTAGCGTATCATATTTCAAGGAAAGAAAGCGTCGCATCCGCTTTCATTCCTTATCCCCGGTGACAGTCCGTTAATCGACTTGATGGTGCCTGCTGGCGCCCCGATGTCCGGGATACTCTCGACATTAGCAAAAATCCCGAAACACCTAATTTCCGGATTGAATCTGTGAGGATGGTTGTGGCCTCGAGCAAAGGCTACACCGGGGGAGGGGGGGGGGCTCAAACATGAATTTAACGGATAGTCCTATCATGCCTACTGTTATATTGGACCACCCTGTATAACACCAGCCTTTCTACTATCGAGCTCATTCGATCGTAGGAGATAGTAAAACAAGCTTTTACTTACCCAGCAGGATACGCCACAGTTTCCGAGTTTGTATCCGAATCTAAGGCTGCATTGTTCGAGACCGTAACGCCGAGCACTCTTTCCAACTTAACCTACAATTTAAAAAAGCGAAATTAGAAGTAGGCACTATAAATCAAACTGACAGTTTTTACATGTAGAGGAATTGAAATTATTCGATCGTCCTTGGAGTCGCTTTTTATACATTCAGTTTTAACTTCCCTGTCGTATTCGCTTATTTCGTATGTTAATCGGTAACATTGAGCGACGAGCGCTAGTGAAAGATGTTTAGAAATTCACGCATTTACCTTTTTTGGACTAATAGGAAATCGTTCGTTCTGTCTAGTCACCTAATAACCGACATTTACAAAACACAAAGAAAACAATAAAGAGAGCTAATACAAACTTTTTTTCGTTGTACTTACTGATTATTAAAATCAAAGAAGAAAAAGAATGTGTTGTAAAAACAAGGAGGGGGTACCCTAACATCGCGGAAACCGCTACGTTTACATAAAAATGTACGAATAAGTGATTGGTAAACAAAAAGTCAAACAGTGGTATAAAAAGTGCACCAATGGACACACGCAGAAATATTGGCGGTACCTTTCGAAGGCGTCGAGTAAAAATAGAGTGCGCACATGCGCAAATCCAACGTCCTAATTTGTTCGCTTGGGCGTTGTAAAGTTTTTTTGTAAGTTTGTTTTTTGATCAACTTATGGAAATTTACACCGCTTCACATGAAACATGAACAAATGTAAATCTAGCGATAAAGGGCACGTAGTCTGGGTGTTATATTCCGCGCTTTGGCGACGAACGTATGCAGGGAAAGTGTGTGCGGTTGCCACGATCTGCGCACGAAGCGTCTGGCATTTTCTTCAGATTTTTGTAACCTACCGCCCTCTTTATCGCAAGAGAACGGAAATTGGAAACCTTGGAGAGAGCTTGGGAAGTCCTGTAACTTGTTAGGAAAGCTTAGTGGGAACATTCCCAGAAAAAGCGCATGCGCAGGAAGCGTCTGGCATTTTCTTCAGATTTTTGTAACCTACCGCCCTCTTTATCGCAAGAGAACGGAAATTGGAAACCTTGGAGAGAGCTTAGGAAGCCCTGTAACTTGTTAGGAAAGCTTAGTGGGAACATTCACAGAAAAAGCGCATGCGCAGGAAGCGTCTGGTATTTTCTTCAGATTTTTGTAACCTACCGCTCTCTTTATCGCAAGAGAACGGAAATTGGAAACCTTGGAGAGAGCTTAGGGAGCCCTGTAACTTGTTAGGAAAGCTTAGTGGGAACATTCCCAGAAAAAGCGCATGCGCAGGAAGCGTCTGCCATTTTCTTCAGATTTTTGTAACCTACCGCTCTCTTTATCGCAAGAGAACGGAAATTGGAAACCTTGGAGAGAGCTTAGGGAGCCCTGTAACTTGTTAGTAAATCTTAGTGGGAACATTTCCAGAAAAAGCGCATGCGCAGGAAGCGTCTGGCATTTTCTTCAGATTTTTGTAACCTATCGCTCTCTTTATCGCAAGAGAACGGAAATTGGAAACCTTGGAGAGAGCTAAGGAAGCTCTGTAACTTGTTAGGAAAGCTTAGTGGGAACATTCCCAGAAAAAGCGCATGCGCAGGAAGCGTCTGGCATTTTCTTCAGATTTTTGTAACCTACCGCGGTCTTTATCGCAAGAGAATAGAAATTGGAAACCTTGGAGAGAGTTTAGGAAGCCCTGTAACTTGTTAGGAAAGCTTAGTGGGAACATTCCCAGAAAAAGCGCATGCGCAGGAAGCGTCTGGCATTTTCTTCAGATTTTTGTAACCTACCGCTCTCTTTATCGCAAGAGAAAAGAAATTGAAAGCGCATGCGCACGAGATAAGCGTCTGATATTTGCTCTGGAAAGCACCGTAAAAGCCTGTAACAGTTTTAGAAAAAATTGATGATAACATTCCCAGCGATTTTACGCAGTTTCCAGAGCTCAGTAAGAGGCCATAGTCAGTTCTAGGTAATACCTACAACGCTCTGGAAAGAGTCTAGAAAGCTTCGGAATGAGCCTCAAAGGTTTTGGAAATTGTGCAAAAATGAAAAATAAAGAAAGCCATAGGTTACAAAAAAAACAGAAGGCAAAGGGCAAACGCTTCGCGCGCTTCTTTGGAAATTTTCACTTACCCTATCCTAGTGAACGCCTTTTGAGATGCCCCAACCTTAGCAACATCCTGTGAATATGATTGTCGATACGAAGCACCCTATACATCATGTTAGTTACACAAGCTGCCAACCGGGCCTTGGTGAACCTAACACTAATATTTTCACTCGATCCGAAACCCAACAACTTTAGCCCACGTCTACAGGCACCAACTGGGCCTGGGTAATCCTACCGCCCGGCGAGGTATATTTAATATCTTAGTTTTGTCTGATGTATGTGTTGTAATACCTGGGGAATGGCTCAATTCCATTTCGGTTACTCATAGCGTGTATGTAGTATTTACCACGGTTTCGAGAGGACTCAAAAGTGCTGTACATTAGATGTTAGCTGTAGGCTTTGTTCATTATAGGACTACTCCGAATTAGGTTTTCCTGCAGTTTTCCTAATTCGTAAGGTAAATGCCGTAGTCGTATAGAACCACTTAAGACCCTTTGCAGGGGCGCCGTATTGGTATTGGTATTAGCTTCAATATAATCTTAATCAGCTATTGCTTTTGGGGTTCCTTGCCCATAAAACCCAATTATTACACAACGTAGCTGTCCTACATGACGATCACGATCTTAGTGCACTCGGAGTGGCCCCCGAGTGACCGATTTTCGCGGGAAACTTAAGCGAAAATATTCAAATAGGCAGCCATGCTAGTTTGGCATTCCCGCTACTACCGAATATGGTCCAATATTCCGGCGTGACTTGAAGTTGGCGTTAGACCGCCAAGATAGTAGGAGGCTAAGATCATTACACCTTTTCCGGAATATTTGACTAACAAAAGCAGAGATAGAGCGCACATGTCAAAAATCGAACGCGCGGATGCGCATGTCCAAGGACAAGTGCGCGCATGCGCATCGTAACTAATTCTCACACGTGTTACAATTTTATTTTAAAATAAGGTGCACATTCAATTTACCTGGTAGATCGATACCACCTCCCTCTCTATGATAGGGGTCGAATTCCTCGGAGCCATCATTTTGACAACTTCCACTCGTACGCCTAGATGTCACTGTCCACCATTAACAATCATTGCGCACAGAGCGCGGTATTAATTACCTTAATTTGACACACCTACAAAGACGCGGAATATTTAATTTTCCTCCAACCTTGTCCCGCTTATTTTTCAAGCTAATAGTAGACGATTCGTAATTATCTGGTGTTAATCTTGATAATAATTAATTACAAGCTATGTGTTAGTTAGTTCTCTTTTTAATCGGAGCTGAAAAATATCAGTTTTCACCAAGCATTGTAAATGTTATGCGAGACGATGTAATCTAAACTACCCGTAATAACAAAACACGTTCTAATATGACAGGGAAGTAGTAAAATAAGTGATCTAAAACCTCTCAACAATGCAAATAAAAAAGGAAATCATCGATTCGGAAAGATGCGCCTACGGATTCGAAGTGCTTTCTCTTTTTTTTTAACAATTTTCATGGTGGGCGTCAATTGCATATGTATTAAATTTAAATCGATTACGTAAATTTATAAATATTTAAAAACAAACACATATCGGTACGTAACTAACAAGGTCACTTCGGACTAACAATATTCTGTGTATTCAGCTGTTAAAAAAAGATTTGTTTAAGGTACTGAAATTGAGACGTAATATTTCGACACAAGGAACCACGTATCTGACAAGAAAATTCACTTAGAATTAACAATGAGCTCTACACAAAATCAAAAGGAATTTATAGAACTTCCTGATACCCTGATTCTCAAACGATGAGCAGTCTCGAGTTGTTCGCGTGAAATCAATGATTGTGACAAATACAAAAAGGCTACTGTACAAGCAGATTAAAAACACAAACCTGTTGCATAATCATGTTGAGGTTGATGAGTTTTCATCCAAGCACACCTCTAATACAGTAAGTTGGTTAAAAAAGTTAGCACTTTCGTTTCATGTCTCGGTGGTTAATTAATAATTTATTAGTTTCGGTTTAGCTGAGATGAGAAATTAGTATTTAGTGGAAATCTAATTTGTACCACATATTTTTCTAATGGAGCAACGTAATGAATTAAAATCCAAAGATCGGTCGCTAACATCGCTGAAGCCAAATTGAAAATCCAAAAACTTTCCAAAATAATGTTTTGAAAAATTCAAAAAACCGATTACCAATAAACTGCACCAATATAAACAAGCGACAAGGTCACTTCTGGTTGACGAGTATATCTATTACTGAAAACCGAATTGGAAAATTCGAAACACAGACGGACGGACAGAAAGTCCAAAATCACGAACTTGCTTTTTGTCGTTCGTTAATAAGCGAACTTCTAACTGCGAACATAAAAATTCAAAAAATCAAAAAAGTTTTGAAAATTCAGTTGCGACCAACAATCGGGAGATCGATTTTTGGTGTACAAACCAAAAACAATAGAACTGTCAAGATCTCTCCTCCAGACTAAAGGGTAGAGTTATCAATCGATTTTTAAAAAGGCAAAGAGTCTTGTCTCTAAAATGTAGCGAAAAAAATGGTACGGCGGACCGATTTTTGGTGAAGAAACCAAAAAAATTACAACTGTCAAGATCTGATCTGACCTCCAGACTAAAAGGTAGACCCATCAAATCGATTCGTAAAAAGGCTAAGAATATAATTATGTCCTCTGTAATCAAGCGAAAAAAAGGCCGAGGTAAATGGAATGAAAAGAATATCAATAAAGGAGCAACAGGTGTTCGGGCGCAATTATCGCCAAAATGCCATGAAATTTCATATGGGAAATTCTAAGGTCCAATTGGATCACTCCGGTTATGTGCGCAAGCCTCGAACAGTCCATCCTGGACACCATCCTAGCCGCCTAAAGCTCTAGGAACTGTTGGGAAAGCTATTGGATCTGTTGACAAAGCTGTTTAATAGTTTTTAGACCTGCAGAGAAAGCTCTTGGACGAGGGAAGTAACAGCTTTGTCAACACGCATCAACAGGTTTCTCAACAAGTCCGAGAGCTTTGTCAACAGGTCCAAGAAATTTAGGTTACAATTGGTTGTCCAAGATGGCGCTGCTCGAGGGAGTGGGGCGCGCGGCGGCATGATCGTAGTGATCCAAAAACTACAGAAATGGACCTTAGAATTACCCATAAGAAAGAACATAGGATTTAGAAAGTGATAGCTTGCAGAAACCAATTTCTTTCAATAAGACTTTTCACTAGAATACCGTGAAGGGTAGAACGGGTGCCCCTCCCTCCATTTCCATAGTTTTACTTAGCACCACTAGAGCCACGCGTATGCAAAATCTGCGACAATTTGGTTGTAAAATGTAAAAAATTATGCACCGTTTACGTTAAGACTGTTAAATTCGTGTATTTGGGGTCCGGTGATCTTTGGTGTAGCATCCAGAAAAACTGTCAAGGTCTGACGTCCAGATTAGAAGGTAGAGCCATCAACCCGATTTTTACCATCGGCACGTTAGTAAGTAAACAATGACCCCCCCCCCCTCTTTTTTGACGGAAATACACGTCTTGAGGAATCAAACAAAATCTCGATGATGTCTCGGTCTGTCTGTCGGTCGCTCTCTCTGTACTCTCATGTCCTACTGAACTGATTGGAACCAAATTTGGTACACATATTCCAAAACGTAAAAGAAAGTGCTGAAAAGGAGCGTGCATGAATCTTGTCCTCTAACATCAAGCGAGTAAAAGGTCGGGGCAGATTCCTAGTAGATTCCAAATCCAATGCATGTCAATCCAATAGATGTCAATCCAAAAATTACAACTGTCAAGATCTGACCTCCAGACTAAAAGGTAGAACCGAGGGTAGAACCATCAAACTAATTTTTAAACAGACGGAGTGTCCATCTTCTCCTTTACAATCAGCAGAAAAAAGGCTGAGACAGATCGATTTGTAGTGAATATGTAAAACAGAGAGTCAGAAGGGGGGGGGGGGGGGGAGTTATGGAATATTCCCAGGAAAAAGAAAGATACTTGATGATGTCCATTAACCTAGCAGAGCAAGGTCATCAAACATATTGCATAATTAGGTGCTAATTAAGTGCCCTAAATTATTAGATGTTCTGCCAGGTTCATATGAACTCAGCAGAGCACTACCTTAAAAAAACCAAGAAAGTGAAAAGTGAACTAGCTATAATTAGGTGCTAATTCGGTGCTAATTAAGTGCCCTATCCCCGAATTAAATGTTCCTTTTTTATTAATTATTAGATGTTCTGCCAGGTTCATATGAACTCAGTAGAGCACTACCTAAAAAACCCAAGAAAATGAAAAGTGGACTAGCTATAATTCGGTGGTAATTAGGTGCTAATTAATTGTCCTATTCCCGAATTAGATGCTCCTTTTTTTTTAAATTATTACATGTTCTGCCAGCACTACCTTAAAAAACCAAGAAAGTGAAAAGTGAACAAACTATAATTAGGTGCTAATTCGGTGCTAATTAAGTGTCCTATCCCCGAATTAAATGTTCCTTTATTTTTAATTATTAGATGTTCTTCCAGGTTCATATGAACTCAGTAGAACACTAACTAAAAAACCCAAGAAAATGAAAAGTGGACTAGCTATAATTAGGTGCTAATTAATTGTCCTATTCCCGAATGAAATGCTCCTTTTTTTTTAAATTATTACATGTTCTGCCAGGTTCATATGAACTCAGTAGAGCACTACCTTAAAAACTCAAGAAAATGAAAAGTGAATTAACTATAATTAAGTGCTAATTAAGTGCCCTATATCCAAATTAAATGCTCCTTTTGTTTAGATTATGACATGTTCTGCCAGGTTCATATGAACTTAAGTGTCCTGTTCCCGAATTAAATGCTCCTTTCTTTTAAATTATGAACATGGCAGAACATGTAATAATTTAAAAAAAAGGAGCATTTAATTCGGAGATAGGGCTCTTAATTAGCACCTAATTATAGTTAGTTCACTTTTCATTTTCCTGGTTTTTTGAGGTAGTGCTCTGATGAGTTCATATGCACCTGGCAGAACATGTAATAATTTTTAAAAAATAAGGAGCATTTAATTAAGGAATATGGCACATAATTAGCACCTAATTATGCAATATGTTTGATTGTGTTCTGCTGACCTTGCTCTGCTAGGTTCATGGACATTAATTGACGATACTTTTAACCTCAAAACGCCCCACCCTAAAGACAGAATATGTAAGTAGGGGGGGGGGGGGGGGTATTCCCTACCTCCCGGTGATACTTTTAACCTCAAAACGTTCCGCCCTAACGACTTTCTCGACAAAATATGTAAGCGGTAAGGGTACTAAAACTTTTTTGTAAAAATCTGGAACCGGGGGGTAGATTTTGGTGAATATGTAAAACCGGGGGTCTGGAGAGGGGGAGGTTATGGGATACCCCCAGGAAAAAGAAAGAGCAAATCTTCATTTACCTACAACTTAATAAGACTTTCATAAAGTGGGGGGTATTCCGGACACCCCCCCCCCCGGTGATACTTTTAACCCCAAAACGTTGTGCCCTAAAGACAAAATATGTAAGTGGTAAGGCGAGTGGTAACGGTACCACACTTTTTGGTAAAAATGTAGAACCTGGGGGTACATTTTGATGCATATGTAAAACCGGGGGTCTGGGAGGAAGAAATAGCCAATCTTCATTTATCTACAACTGACATAAGACCTTTGTATGCTGACGGGTTTTCCATACCCCCAAGACTACCTGGTGATACGTGCACCCTCAAAACGTTCAGCCCTAAAGACTTCTCCGAGGACTTCTCCTCTAAAATCAAGCCCAAAAAGTCCAGGGCAGATCGAGTTTCTAGTAGATTTTTGGTGTAGGATCCAAAAAAATTTGTAAAACAAAGATCTGATCCCCAGAATAAAAGGTAGATTCATCACACGGATTTTTAAAAAGGCGAGTCTAGTCTTACCTCTAAGATCCAGAAAAGAGTTGTGGAAGATCGATCGAAAAAATATTTTCTACCAGATCTTGGTGTGTTACGTATAAAAAATCCGAGCTCAATAATGACAGAAGAAAACCCCCAGGGACGTACCCAATTTGAATATTCGGGTCAACACTTAGCAAGGTCGACAAATTAATCGTCGACGTTTTGTGTATGGTCGGCGAAATGGCTGTCAGCGTTTTGGACAGGTACGTCATTTTCAACATTTTGTAATGTTGGCTTTTTGGTGGTCGGGCGAAACGTGTAGATTCAAAAATGTATTGCCCAAACTTGTGGCCCAGTAAGAATCACGCATTTGCACTAGTACTACCATAAACGTCGATTGGTATTTTTCATTCCTCCCACATTCATCAGAAATTCAAAGAAATGAAACCACTTACACTTTCGACTCAAGCTGAACGACAACAAAGCAAGAAAACTTATGGCCGGTATTTGCATATACGGCCGGGTAGACAGGCAAAGTCCAGACGATGACCCATATGGGAAATGTGCCCAAAAAATTTTTGCCAAATTGTGCACCACGAACCAAAATGATCATCAAGCAACCAAAACGTCGAGGATAAAGCTCCAATGCAAATGAACGAACATGAGAAAATTGAGAACAAAAAAGACGCCTATCTAGATCTTCTAGCCTTGAATGAAGATTGCAAAAACAGCAGCCAAAGGACGATATCCATTACCAACGAAGATAATTAACTTTTACCAATTATTTTGATTGCACGGGTCAAATGAAATTAGCAATAATTGAATAATTGTTTCAAAACATTTAGCTCCAGAACGCCTCTAGGATATCATTCACTACTTTGCTCACTACCTGCAAAAAACTGACGCACTGGTTTTAAAAAAAATTGCACTTAAGTCACCAACTTTGATTTAAAACGCGCGACTACGGCAATTTTCTAATACGACGACATCGCAAGTCGCGAATCTAATCCTACACTAAACCGAATTACACCGTCTTAGCCGTACTTAAACAAAATTAACAAACGTGGCGAGGCGGTTTTAGTTGCCACTCGCTCAATGACTTTCCCCTTCCAATTCGGTTCACTACTACTACGGCACAGTTTCGGCGACTAGAATTCTGTGCACGATTCCCGTTTAGATAATAATGGGCAAACAGCGGCAACACTTTTTCTTACTGGACGATGTTACGTTATGTAAAGAGTTCGTGGGCCAACCTTGACTAAAAATAAAGGCGAGTGAACACGTTTTGAAATGTTCTCGCAAAATTGTTGTGCAGCGGTAACAATTTCTGAAGAGCCTACAGAATCGAAAAACATTATTTCGTACCACCATCTAGTTACACTAAATTCGCTATCCACTTGGAAAAGCCCTAAAGTACAAATTATTTCCATACCATCCCCAGAAAAAGGGTATCTTCTTCTCCCATCGATGTACTATAAATTCGCCTGCCACTGGGTTGCATTCGGGTTGTTAGAGAAAAAAATGAAAGGGCTTCAGCCAACACCCATTGTACCGGAAGTCCGCGAACCGGCTTTATGGTTCAACGGTAGAGCGTTGGGCTATAAATCCGGAGGTCGGGCGTTCGAACCTGGGTTGAGGTGAATTTTTTATCTGTGACAGAGATGGGAATTACCTTAGACCAGTTTCGAGCATTCTACCGGCTACTTCGAATTAGATTTTCCTGCCCTTAGCAGGTAATGGTTGAAAATACAAATATAAGCAAACATGCGATTAGGTAATACAGTGTGAGCAACAATGATTGAAGCGTGCGTCATCACCGCTTGTTCCTATTAATATCAAAACTACCTTCTTTGTATGGAGTTGTATACGAAAATGACGTTCTGCGCTGTCACGGTGACGTGCGTCTATTCGTATTTCGTATCTTGTATCAAATCAGCATATGCTATGAGCGGCACATTGCCAATTTAGCTGAAGCGGCACGCTTCAATCTTTGTTGCTCACTCTGTATTTTAAAATATCAGCTACGCCCAGCCTCCTAAGCATTTGACTCGTTGACAGACTGCTGGACTAGCGCTGCTATACTTTGGCCGGCGGTCGATGTAATAATTAACTCGGTTTTTTAATTGCAGCATGCCAGGCTCGTACTGTTTCACGTTTAATTTCTTCCGCACTTTTAGCTAACCAAGTCCCTTTTTTCGTCTTTAGTTGAAAAGAAAACGAATTTTTTACCTGTAATACTTGAGTCGTAGGGCCTTCGAGATTTACCGCTGAATGTCCTCTCGTCTATCCCCCTGGACGCGTCTCTACTTTCTTCCAATTTTCTAACACGCCCCAAAATGGTGTTAATAGGGTACAGCGACCATCTTTACTAATTCAACCAACAAGCTTTATCCCCTCTGCTCATCGATTTTTAGCGATTCTGACCTGATAACGAACAAATCGGGATCAGCCGTTTGGTCACGTAAAAGCTATTAATTTCGCGATATCTCGCGTCGGACGGACGCCAACCACTTTTCCATGCGACTGCAACCTTTAACTTGACGGAACCACCCTTAAACTCTTCACAATTACTAAAATCTAATAACAACGCGCCTACACCCATGTGTCCTTGTTATTAATGTCAAAAATTTTAAGAAAAAATCGAAAAAACGCAAGAATTACTACTAGTCAGTTTGGTGTAACGGTTTAAGACTCGGACCCCAACCTCACAGGTCGTGAGTTCGAATCCCACAACCTGCCAGTTTTTAGTGGTATCTACTGCCGACCATGCTTCAGAAGACATGTGACGCTGGCGGTCCCAGCAGTCATACCCCGACGGTCGTTAGGTCACGCAGAAGGCTGTTGATGCAACCTGAAAACGTCTATACCTAGGAAGTGCCACCCACACGATACATGCATACATACAAAAATTACTCTCCGGCTTTGGAACCGTGTTGCGAGGGATTCGGGTCCTCGATTTTGTAAGGGTTTTTGTGTAGTAGGCCACCAGGATTTGTGAAGAGCCGTAGGCCATATAGTAGTTGAGTACTTCGGAGGAGTTACCGAGTTTTAGGTTCCATGGATAGGTTCTTCAGACCGTACCGCTTCTCGTAAATTACAAACAGCGCGAAAACTCTTTAAACAAGGCACACACACAACCGCATAAAGTAAGCCTATCACTATTTGTGCTTAGATAACATTTTTCAATAGCATTTTGGTTTACCAATGGATTACGTAATTTGGTGGAATCGGTTGAAATTTAAAGAGAAGAGCGAACCAGTCTGTGCTGAAATAGAAAAATACACTTCACCTGAATCATGCAACGTCTAAAACTACCCCCCGAGTCGTCCAACCTTGGAAAATCTGAATAGCCCATTTATTTAGAGCTCGTGGAAAGGAATTAAAAATTGCCGATGCTGGATCCTAATTGCTAGGTGACAACCGGAAAGCCTTGATTGCGAAATCCCAACTAATGTTAGATGATACGTAATCCAAATGGCCCAATTAATTTTATTAAAACCTACAAAGGGATTTACGGCAGATAATAAGCGCTGAAGTTACTTAAAGCAAAAAGATCATTTTACTGTCGAATGCTGATTCAGATTTAACTTTTCGGGTCGGGTTCTCAGTATTGCTTTTATCAGCTCGCACGGACTAACCTTGATTTAAAATCCAATGAATTTACTTTTCTCTTTACAATCTAAAAAAATTCTTCTTTAAATCAACATTGTTACTGGTTCCACTTGCGAATTTTCCCAATGGTTTCGACGGCTGATCGATTTAACTTAGCTCGATTCCAATTCACGTATTCCGACTACGAGGTGCCTTAGACACAAATTTTAAGTAACCCCAGCACGTACACTTATCTTAATGGCAGTCACACGCGCATTTGATTCTCGTTTATCCCGCTTCCTTAACTTACCGTTCAATGTCTCAACCATACTATTTCCCGGTTACCTACGTACTGCCTGGCAGCCGCCCGCGGAATGCCCCAAAAACAAACTATCATTCTTGTAATTGTCTTAATTTCCCCAAAGCGCTTACAAAATGGTCGTTAATATGTTACAGCAGCCATCTTTATTATTCGTCCAACCAATCAAATACATCCCCATTCTCTCATCAGAAACTGAGACATAAACGCTATTAATTTACCGTTATCGCCCGTCAGACGGTCGCCGATAACTTTCCCAGGCATTAAACGATCACAACTCATCAGGATCAGGTAACACTTTGACTTACAAAAGAGAGAGCACCAATTTTATTGAGAAACCATCGAATTAAATTTTTTTAAAACAAGCCCCTGCATATCTCACTATAAACAGCTCCCCCAAATGACGTGCCACCCTAGAAAATTCAATTCTAAACCCTTAACTTAAGGAAACTTGCCATGTACACTTCTTCAAAACAAAATCAATTTTATGTTCATGGAAAGATCCAGTACCAATATTTTACTTATTAGTGGTCACTTTCTATTTTCATACGTTAAACAACTATAAATGACCAACAGAGAAATACGGAATATTTGCTTTTTTACAAACAAATCTGAATCTTAAAATTAATATATTTAGCTCAGTTAGAAGATTTCCGATACTTAATATTGAATTTAAATGGAAAACTTACTACATTCTTCTAAGTTCGTACACTATTGATCCCAGAGGAAAATATAAAAAAAAATACACTTTACCTTAATCATACAGTGTCTCAAACTACCCCTCGAGTCGCCCAATCTTGGAAAAAGTGGACCATCCTTTATTTTGGGCGCATGCCTGTTGAGGGCCCAAAACTAAGAGAGGGATAATAAATAAATTTAGGACTCGTGGAAAAGAATCAAAAATTGCTGATGCTGGATCCTAGGTCATCATAGCAAGAAGTCCTTGATTTTAAAATCCCCAGCAATGCTCGATGATACGTACGAAAACGGTTCCGGCATGTAATAAACGCAAAAAGTTTATTCTGATTCGGATTTAACTTTCGCGTCGGATTTCCCCTATTGTTCCGTGTTGCGTTTATAAAATCGCAGAGACTAACCTCGATTTAATTCCCCAAAAGCGCCTACAAAATGGCCGCTAATAGGGTACAGGGCCATCTTTATTCGTTCGACCAATCAAATACATTCCCTTTTTCAATCCCAAATTCCCGCAAGTTGTGCCAAAACGTCGGCGTAAGCAGTTCCCAATGTGATTCATGACGCGGAGGAACTCGCCAGAAACGGAGACGTAAAAGCTATTTACTTCGCGTTATCGCCATTTTTCTAACTGTTATGTAAATGACTATTACCTTAATCATGCATCGTCTCAAGCTGCCCCTTGAGTCGTCTAACCTTGGAAAATTTAATGGGTCCAACACGTGGCTTCCCGTTGGCTCTAATTCTCCTAGTCGCTTCCCTACTCCTTTTTTAAATATTTTAACACGCCCCAAAATGGCGCAACAGAATACAGCGACCATCTTCATTCGTTTAGCCAATCAACTTTTTCTCCAAACCACTTGCAAACTCGGCGGTTTTCACGACTTCGGTCTCCGAGTACGGGGAAATTCACATAATCAGAAAATGACAGGTAAAAGCTATTAATTACGGGTTATCAGTCGGAAACCACCGTCATTAACTTACAAAATATAGATTTATTACGAAAATTTACTCAATACCTGAAAGTAAACTAACCTAACGAAATTCTATTCTAAACAATTCGTTTTGGGAAACTCGTTCCAAACGCCAAAACCTCGTAACACGACAAAACCAATTTTAAGAAAAAAAAACGAAAAAATAAAAATCGGTGGAGAGCTCCCGTTACAGTTTCCTCTTCTGTGAAAAAGTAGTTTTCGGTTTTCATCTTTTTCTTTTGTATATTCCTCAAAGTTAACAATTCGAATGTCCATAAATGGTGGCATTTTCTCGTACTCATTTTCTGGTGTTACCTGATATTCTTTTTGTTTTTTACTTTATTTTAATTTTATTTGTATGTTTCATTTATACTTCTAAATAAGTAGAGTCTATTTTCTGCCTCGCCCTGTATCAAAGCTAACATTTTGCTAATTATTCCACCTCGATCAACAACTTTCTTTGTCATTTGAAG